TGTGGTTTGTATGCCAGTAAAGGCTCTCCAGAAGGAGATGACGAATAGTGACCAGCGGAATTGATTGGCCTATCTGGACAGCGCGGAGCGACTCGTGGTGGAAGTATGGGAAAATAATGGTGAATGAAGTCGTAGTATGCGTTCAATCTATATTCGAATCAGCGTTCAGCAAGCCTTCTGGCTGCCACTCATAAGTGAAGCCTTACATATCCTGTTCGCTGCCATATGTCCTGACCATAGGCTGGGATGGTATGTTTGAAGGCGAACGTGTCGGCCCAATCTGACCCTGGGTGTTGCTGCCATTGTTCGAAGGGAAGAGATCAGCAAACATGCTATTCACATCCGATGAGTAATCTAACGCTCTCAGCCCAGCTCCTGGCAAGGAGAGTACATCAATCTGACCAAACATCGCCGAGGCTGCTTGAAGGTTAGTGCTGCAATTACAGACAAGGGTCGCCTCACTTACAGTCATCAAAGCCAGATGCTGGCGTGATGGTAGAGTTTTGGAAGTCATCCTGCCGGGTTCTTGAATCCGAAGGAGATGAGCTCTTTTTCTTCTTCCTTGGACCGCCTCTCCTACTAGGCAGGTACGAGCATTTCTTCTTCTTGCTAAGACACTGTCAAGTGAACGACCTTGTCTCAGCATATATAGAGACAAACATAGGAGAGTCAGTATAGAGTTAGTAAACATACGTTGGAGCATGGTTCTTGACCATCGCAGCGCGTCCTTGATGCACGACTGTCGCGTCAGAGTCAGCATCAAAGGCAACAACCAGCGACAGGGAGACAAGGGGTAGAGAAATCCAAGTAGTCGAAGGAATTACCGACGAGGGTCACATGGATCTGTAAACATGAAGGATCAAGACGGCTTACCATGTCAGACAAGCTACTTTGACTGGCGGTTTGGCAAACTTCTTCCGAACCACTGTGGGCCGCGAAGTCTTGGATTGTGTAACTGGGGCGATTCCGGTATTAACAGGGTGTGGAAGGTTCTCCAGCACCATCTCGAAATCCCGATCAATCAAATCACTTCAATTTCGTGTTTTGAGTCCCTTCATTCAACGGGGTTTGGTCGTAGTCTCGTGCAGGCTTAATGAAAGCGGTCTATATCACACCCACCGCCTCGAAAGGGTCACCTTCGCGCATAACTACTGGGCACAGGGGCCGTACGATCACGGAACTTTTCTCCCTCTGGTGCTGGTCAATCGGGATCCCAGAGATGTGGTCTGATATAGTTACTGCTAAAAGCCGGGGCGTCGCGCCGTGGCTTAATCATCCGTAGCCAACGATCCAAATCCCGAACTCCCACGGTTCGGGATTTGCTTTGGTTCAGGAAAGGGATATGTGGAGCAGGCTTCACCTCGCATTAACTCGTGAGATAAAAAGGGTGATAGGGTGCCTTGGACAAGAGAGACTCATCAAGTTCCCTATTCTCCAGAGACGGTTGTGATAAACCAGAAAGTTGCGTAAGAACTATGATGGAGTAAAGGGCGTTGAAAACAATCGCCGACTTCCTGATTGGAGCATAAGTACTGTATTGGTCACGTGACAATCACCTTTATCCCCAGGCTTCAAGCCTTTTAACGAACCTTGCAACGTGACAGACTATTCATAGCAAAGGATCTCAATGAGGGTGACGCATATCTACACTCCCGGGCTGAAAGCGGAAACCAAGAATTGTAGCTGTTATAACTGTAGGAACCCGGATATATACATGTTTTTAATGTCCTAAGGTATGACTACCTAGGTATGTGACAAGACAGTAATAACGTAGTAACTAATAGCCTTGGTCACAACCATGTCTTCATGGTTTCTGCATGGTGCTGTAGATAGTCCGCTTTAAGTGGACACCAGTGTGGATGCAGAATGGCATATTCCAAATACTTGTTTTATGATAGAGTCGATATCCGAGTTTCCGGAGCTGCTTGACCATATACATGAAGCTCGTGGAGAGCCAAACAGCCTTGACCATTGTCTCTAGCATTGCCGTGTTTGGTGCTGATGTGTGGGTGTATGGTTCTCCTGCGTTATCGGGAAGGGACCTTGGGTATTCTGATGCCGGGTATGCCTCTCACGCTGTCCCAGACACTGTCCGGCACCTTCACTGGAAGCTTGTGGCCTCTGAGCTGTTGGTCTATCAACCACATGCCGACGACAAACTCTTCTCTCGTCAATAGTCCAATCTTCTGCCGATCAACAAGATTCCAGATGTGCTCCAGAATGCTTGACGGCAAGCGGCTTCGGGACCATATGTCGCGAACAACAATGTTCAGGACCGTCTCGGATGCACTTGGAGGATAACCTTCGCTGGAAGTTTCCTCCTGTGAAGATCGTTCCTTTGAATCACTGATGGGTATCAGTAATCCCTTGTTTGCAGCCCAAACGCCCTCGTACCTCTTCCTCTCCTTCTCAGTTACCTCGCTTTGCCATCGTTTTCGATCGCCCTCGTGATGTTTGTGTGGGTGTCTGTGTATAATATGCTTTCTGTGCTTGTGATGGTCGAGCTCTTCTTCACCAGCCTTAGTCGGCGGTCGGAGAGTGTGCCGCAGGCTTGGGGTGGGACTGGAGCTGCGTGGAGAGTCGCTGTTGGATGTGTTTGGGCGCAGGAGCGAATGGGTCCTGAGTTGCCGTTGTGGTGGAGGGGGTGGAGGGACTTTCTTTGCGGATGGCGCTTTTCTTGAGGCCAGTGATGATGCAACTATCGCATCCGACATTGCTTCCTCGTCTAGGCCAGGGGAGTGGTCGATGAGGTCAGGGCTACTACCATTGTTTTGTAAAGATCTGTCCAGCAATGGAGAGCTAGGAGCCAAAGGACGCTTGCTATGTTCGTGCGCTTCCAGCAGAACGCGACGATCACTTGGGGGAATGTGTGCCACAGGTGAAGCGTCTGGACGCGGGGGAAGCTTAGGTCTGGCCTCATCAGCACCTGTAAGACCCACGTCAGAATTTGAAAGCGGTTCGTAGCTCTGTTGTCTTCCATGAATCTTCAATTCATTGGGACTAGGGCTTTTCGGGGCCGGTTTTGCACCTCCTTTCCGAGGCAGAGGTGGAGTAGGACGGGGTTTTGTAGCAGACACTGAAGCGATATCTGAGGGTCTGGGTGAAGTAGCTGGCTGCATTGCGGGATTTCGATGGGGAATTGCAAGCGGGTTTCTGACCGGTAGTTCCCTGTTGCCTTGAAGAATTTGTTCAACTGTGTCGGCGCCTGCCGTCATGTTGCGAACAGGCTTCGACATTGGAAGACCAGGCTCTGCTCTATCGTCGCTTCCCTGAGACTCCGTTTGCCTCAGTTCCGTCGTTGAATTCATTCTCCCCAATGTTACGGGTTTGTTCACTGGCACCGGCGGTTTCTGCATAGCGAGTTGTGCAGCAGCCCGCTGGGGAGGCTGCGGCCTGAAAGTCGCAGATTTATCACGCTCCCCCTCCGATGCCTTTTGCGTACTCTGTGCGGTAAACAGTCCAATTTTGCTTTTGACGGATCCAGGCTCGGGGAGTCCTGCGGATCCGTCACCTGGTGGACGATCCGTATCGGTAGCATGATGTTTTGCATCAGTGGTTCCCCTGGATTTGTCGTCCATTCTCTGCAAAGTTGTCTGGGTAGAGCTTGCCTCAAAAGCAGCAGTGGCTTCTTGCAGAGCTGTCACAGTTCCGCTGACATGACCACGGCCCGAATGGGTAGCCGGACTCTCCATGCACAAGACCTGCTTCGCCTTTCCTGCTCAAGGGATAATGGCCTAAAAGGTTCCTGTTTTCCATTGACTAGGCTCTAAGAAGATACTCCCTATAATGTCCACCTCGAATTGAACAAGTTGTAGGGGCCAAATCAATAAATCATGGCGTCAGATGGAGATGTATTTACATTTGTTGATCGGGGAAGCCGAGTGCGGACTGCGGACCTAAGAGTTCTACAGAGCCCGTGCGTCAGATTCCGCCACGCATGGCAGAACACATCCAGTGTCAAATGGACTGACCACTCCAGCCATGAAGTAGAAGGGTACTGCTTCTGGAAATTGAAGAAGCGAAGTACTTGGATATGGCCATGCTATGTGAGGAATACTTCAGCTTGACCTTTGCTTCAGCCTCGGCATAGAAATGGTCGGTGGTATTTAGCCAAGCATCGTAGACAGCAAGTCAAGAGATATCTATCCACAACAGCAGTCTACCTCTGGTAATTTTTCCTAGTGATTGTGACATGTGTTGACTAATGATATCATTCTAAGTTCTAATATAGAATGCTTCCAAAAAGGGATGTCGGTTCACAGCATGCCTAAAATAATGACAAGAATATCCACTCGACAGCCCGTACCCGATAACTTTTCCAGAGAACTTCGCCATAACGCATGCTGATGATGCTCTCCCCATACACATCACTCTTGTTGTAACACGCATGCTTGTTTAACCTTTGGCATATACCAAGGTAAATTAATGTTTTCAGTACTCCCTCTGATTCCAATGACCGTCAATTTGAAATGCCCCTACTTACTAAGCTTGCGATTTTAAGATCGGTTTCTTTTAGCCTTCCCAGTATTCATCCGTTTAATTAACCGAGAGACGGAGAGACTAACTGAAAGTGCGGGGAATTCGACCTGGGGTTCGTTCGTACGGGACGATGTGAAGGAATAATCACGGTTCTCATTTCTCCTTCTCTCGTGTCTTAGTCTAGTCTTAAGTTTCTCCTGAGCTCTTCCCCGCTCTCTAGCTTTTCGCTTCACTCAGCTGCTACGATCCTTTCGCCTTTCGAAGCTAAGCTACTCCCGCCTCCTCAATTCGAGGGCAGTCGGCGTCCGCAATTTACCTTTTTAGATCCACCACCGTCAATAACAGCTCTTGAATCAAAAGGGCTCTTGCTCACCACTTATAATGTTGATGAAAATGTTGGCGCTTTCAGCAATTCCGTGAAGCTTATTCCTTTTCTTCAAGGACCCCTGTGATCTCCATGCGCGCAGCTGCAATGCCAAATCCTACTAATTCTCAACTCAATAAATCGTCCATGAGGCGCAATGACCCCAGAAAAGAGCGACGCTGGCCAAGGTACGCACTTGTTCTTTGCTCTGCGGCAGAAACGCCAAATAGATGGTAAACCGGTCAAGGATTAACCCATGACGTGGTAGAACTTGCGAACCGCCATGAGGCCGAAACAGGAGCAGAGGAAACAAGCATCAATCGTGCTCGCGAAGTTCGGCTTGGCTCCGCCACTGGTCAGACCAAGTGCTCGATTTGCCATAGTACTTTTCGAAGACCTGAGCATCTGAAGCGTCACTTCCGAAGCCACACTAAGGAGAAACCTTTCGAATGTGCGCAGTGTGGACGTCATTTCTCAAGAACGTATGTCATCGCCTTCTGCCCTTTTTTCTTTTCCCCCTTCCCTTCTCGTGGTACCACTGTGGCAGTTGCGGCCTCGGTATCAGAGTGTTCACCAGTTCGAAAAATAATCGTATTCCAAAACTGACTGCTGCCGCAAGTGACACGCTCCATCGCCATGAACTAAGTCATCATACCTTGGGACCCGAGGGGGGAAAGGATCGTATGCATCGCATTACCGTCAAGACGTTCAGAGCCTGTTACAAATGCGCGGTAGCCAGAGTAAGGTGCAGTGGTGGTTCCCCATGCGTGCGCTGTGAGAATAGGTCTCTGGAATGCCAGTATCCGACGGAACGACGCTCCAAAGCCAAAACACGGAAGGAAGCGACCCAGAACCTGTCTTCTGATGGAAACAGTACGATTTATAGACAGGCTACTCAGCATGAGTCCCCCTCTTCAACAGCAGGTGCTGATGTCCACGGAGCGGATATCAGAGAGCAATCAAGAAATGAGCCTCCGAGGTTTCAGATTACCGAATTTCAGCTGGATCTCCCCGGCTCCCATCGTCTGGATACACCATCGAAGGATATGCCTGCAGAGAGACCGCACGGGCCGCCTCGCGGAGAAGCGTCAGAGCATCAGAATGGTCCACCGGAAGACGAAACGGCTGATTTGAACTCTCGAATGCTCTTGTCGGATGCGGATGGTCCTACGCACGACGCACGTGTATCGTTGCCTGAATATGCTGGCTTGAGCTCGCAGCAATTGTACTCGCAATTGCCAGCAGGTGGCGTTCAGACATTTCCACAAGAATCAGCCTCGCAACTTGACCATCGGTCCAGAGACATCCAGCAACCAGTAGCAGCCACATCCAATCTCAATCTGGAATTGGCGGGAGTTGGAGGCCAGCAAATTCAGCTCGGGTTTGACCCACCATTTTTAGATCAATCAATGCTTTCTACCTTGAATTGGTTGCCTAACGATATGTTCCCTGATACAACTAGCGATCAGTCTCTCTCGAGGATGCCTCCGCTCTCTGATCAGCTGGGTATCTTGGACGAGCCGGTGAGCCGAACAGCATGGCTACCTCCTGTCACCAACTTGCGGCAAATGAGTCCCTCTATGCGGGAAAATCACTCACACACCCCTTCCGCGCACATGTCTGTGGGCACAGATGCGGGGAGTCCCGACCGATTTTCTCGCAGCATTGGGGAAAGTTCATTACATTCGGAGCCCTCAAACGCAACCAAGCGGTCGGGAGATTTCTACGTGGACGGCGCTGGAGCTCGACTGCCAAAGTATAGACGGAACAGAACTTCGTGGTCAAGGTCATCTGCAGAACCTATTGAAATCCTGGCACCGATGCATCAACATGATACGCTACATCAATTCTCATTCCCACTGATTCAGGAGATCAGGCCAGACTTCCTTCCGGGTGAGGAAGCGGCTTTTAATTGTCGGATCGAAGCTCCGACATATGATAAAATCTACCACTCATTCCTTCAGTTGTGCCGCACAGACAACCCTCTCTATCCCAAATTCGAGACTGGTAACTTTCCGAGTGCCGATGCTCTCTCAAGCTTTGTATACCTTTACTTCGACTCATTTCAGCCCGTGTATCCCTTGTTCCATCCCCCTACATTCAACCCAAACAGCTGTCATTGGCTCGTGACACTGGCTATATCAGCAGTCGGCTGTCGTTTCTCTGGTCTCACCCCTCTGGATGAATGCACTACGGCGTTTGATGAATTCCTTCGGCGGGCTACAAAAATTGAGGTAAGACATTTGATTTCCGCTTGCGGGCTATTCGACGCTGACCGAGTATGGCGGCCCAGGAAGAGAAATGTCGTTCAGAACGAACACCACTGTGGCTGATTCAGGCTATGACGCTCAGCTGCATCGGATTGCTACACAGTAGCGGTAATGAGCAAAGCAAGGTGTCCACACTCAATGCCTTCGGCGATCTTGTCAATTTCACCATTCAAGAGAAACTGCTCTGCGCCGCAAGCAAGCCAACGGCTCAGTATGGTGATCTTCCGCTAGAACAAAAGTGGCATGACTGGGTTGAAGATGAAATACGACGACGGACTGGGTATCTGATATGGGTATGCTCCGTTGAAAGATTTACCCGAAACTATGCTCCGTCAATATCTGGATCTGACATTCAAGCGCTAGCTCCTTGATTGTTCCCTCGCGTATTACTTTGATAACCGGCCATTGCTGTCGTTGGACGACGGGCAGTGTCCATTACCGTCTCATGAGAATCTCTGGAAAGCTCACTCGGCCGAAGCCTGGCGGGATGCTCTCGAGAGAACTTCCGGTAAGCTTGGACAAGGCAAGCGAAAATTCTCAACTAAGACATCGGTTCTAGGTTTGCGAGATATCTCTCTTTACAACGCAGTGCTCACAATCTATATCGAGAAGAAGCTCGTCCCAGAGATCGGAGAATTCAGCCACGTCCTACTCGTTCACGCTCTCTACCATCGAATGTGGGAGGTCGGTGACTATTTTCGCCGTCCCTTATCCTTTTGGAATCCCACCGCAAAGAAGCAGTCCCTTGATACCGCTATCCCGTCGGGGTCTGTCTGGCTGCCAGGTATCCCTTCGTACTCGAAATGGCGCAACAGCGCGTGTGATTGCTTGGATATTTTGCATTGGACGGCGAACAGCACAATCGCCAAAGCAGCGGGACTTGAGCATCCTACTGTGCTACACCTCCATGCTGCCCGAATTGTCCTCCTCTCCCCATACCGTGAAATTCGTTCCCTGGCGACCTCATTAGCAATGGGCAAGATTCGCTGGACCGATCATCAACAAGCCCTTGAGTGGCATTACATATTACGGTGGATCAAACACGACCAGTACAAGGCTCGTCTTGCGATCATACATGCAGGCACAACCTTGTGGCACGTAAAACGGTATTCGACGAACGCGTTCCACGAGCCGGTCGCTGTATATCTTTCAATACTCACTCTATGGGCGTATGGCTCATGTCATGTCCAAATATCCGAAGATCCCAACTCAAGATATGGACCACGGCATCATCCAGTCCGCGAACCAACATTTATCCACCTAGACCGGCCGTGTGATGACGAGCTAGTCCAGCTCTTTGTCCGCGAGGGTCATGTTATGCAAGGAAACGTCACAGGCGTCGGGGACATATGTGCTCCTCATGGTCCTGAGCGCATCCTGAAGGTTGGCTGCGAGACACTTGCCGGGCTTACTTCATGGGGAATTAGCAAGAGATTTATTGCCATCCTTACGAAGCTCGCGGAGCTGTCCTCGCAGCCACAAGCTCCTAGAAACTGATATTATGACATACACGGGGAAGGTAGCATTTCGATCTGACGGACGATTGGGTGTTGGCCATATTTTATACAGGTCAATAATGTATATAATGTCTGGTGACGATAGGTTTTGTCCGAGTACAATAGTATCTAGATTATGCCACTTATCTGCGGAGTAAACGCAGGTGATGTAATGTCACAAGTGTCGCTATCTTATCGGGGCCCGTTGTAGCCTAATCTTCGTGGATCAACACGCTTCTTGGCTCGCCATATATTACGGACAACGTGTATGGCCTGGGGTTTACTTCAAATATACTTTATTCCTGACTTGGGAATGGAAATTTTGATACATAATGGACTCTGACGAGATCATTCCTGATGAGGAGCATCCAAATGTCCCTGTCGGAGATGAGGAGTCTGACATTGACGAAAAGTGAGGCTACCCGCACCCTGTTTTCATCTATAAAATCTACTCCAGTGTTGAGAGACAAAAGTCATTGACATTATGCTACTCGTCGCTACAGATATCCCAATCGCCCGCGTAACCATTCCCCAACGCTACCTTTTCATGAGCTTTTCCAGACCCTCTTCAACCCTCTGAGCGAAATCAAAAAGAAGCCAGCCGGAGCGGTAGCCGCTCGCAGGAAAGTCGGTCCCCATGGGCAATCGGCGGCGAATCTCAACCCGCTCGAGCGACGACGCGATGTGATCGAGCGCTTTATCTCGCGATGGAGGAAGGAAGTGGGTGATGATATATACCCGGCCTTTCGACTGATTCTTCCGGACAAGGATCGGGACCGGGCCATGTACGGAATCAAGGAGAAAGCTATTGGCAAAATGCTTGTCAAGATTATGAAGATCGACAAGAACTCCGAGGATGGCTTCAACCTGCTGAACTGGAAGCTGCCTGGGCAAGCAGCTACGTCCAGGATGGCGGGCGACTTTGCGGGGCGATGTTTCGATGTCATCTCCAAGCGACCAATGCGGACTGATGTGGGAGACATGTTGATCGAGGAGGTCAACGAAAAGCTGGACAAGTTATCAGGGGCTTCCAAGGAGGAGCAGCAGCTGCCGATCCTTGCAGAGTTTTACCGGCGCATGAATGCCGAGGAACTGATGTGGTTGATTCGTATCATCCTCCGGCAGATGAAGGTAGGAGCGACGGAGCGGACCTTCTTTGATGTCTGGCATCCGGACGCGGAGAATCTGTACAGTATTTCGAGCAGTCTCCGGCGTGTCTGCTGGGAGCTGCACGATCCGAATATTCGGCTGGACGCTGAGGACAGAGGAATCAGCCTGATGCAATGCTTCCAGCCGCAGCTGGCTCAGTTTCAAATGCATTCCTTGGACCGCATGGTCGCTCGAATGAGACCGACGGAGGAGGATCCTGCCTTCTGGATAGAGGAGAAGCTGGATGGCGAGCGCATGCAGCTTCATATGGAATCTGACGATTCAGTACCTGGCGGCAGACGATTCCGTTTCTGGTCAAGAAAAGCAAAAGAATATACATATTTATACGGCAATGGTATTCATGATGAAAATGGGTCTTTGACGAGGCACCTCAAGGATGCTTTTGCAGATGGGGTCCAGAGCCTGATTCTGGATGGTGAAATGATCACATGGGACCCCGAGCAAGACGCTCCCGCACCTTTCGGCACACTCAAGACTGCTGCATTGTCCGAACAGAGGAATCCGTTCTCCACGACAGGCGCTCGGCCGCTGCTGCGTGTCTTTGACATACTGTATCTTAATGGGCGAGACTTAACTGGCTACACACTTCGTGATCGTCGCAATGCTTTGCAGAAGGCTGTCCGCCCTGTCCATCGCAGATTCGAAGTACATCCCTACGAAGAGGCTACAACTAAAGATGAGGTCGAAGCTGCGCTCAGAAAGGTGGTAGCTGAAGCTTCCGAGGGTTTGGTGCTCAAGAACCCTCGGTCGCCTTACCGTCTGAACGAGAGACACGATGACTGGATGAAGGTGAAACCTGAGTACATGACCGAGTTCGGAGAGTCTCTAGATCTCATCGTCATCGGTGGGTACTATGGCTCCGGTCGTCGAGGCGGCAACCTTTCAAGTTTTCTCTGCGGGCTAAGAGCTGACGATGCTCATGCCTCCCAGGGTGCGAGCGCGTCAAGGTTCTACTCCTTCTGCAAAGTTGGAGGTGGCTTTAATGCCGCCGATTATGCAAATATCCGTCATCACACCGATGGTAAATGGATGGAGTGGAACCCAAAGAAACCTCCAACTGCATATATTGAGTTGGCAGGACGAGATGCTCAATATGAGCGACCGGACATGTGGATCAAGCCGGAAGACTCAGTCGTCATCTGTGTCAAAGCAGCCTCCGTATCAGCCAGTGACCAGTTTCGGATTGGGCTGACTTTGCGGTTTCCGCGATTCAAAAGGCTGCGCATGGACAAAGACTGGAAAAGTGCTCTGTCTGTGCAGGAATTCCTGGATCTCAAGTCGAACGTCGAGCAGGAACACCGGGAAAAGGAATTGAATGTGGACAATTCCCGTAGGAAACGCGTCAAGAGGACGACGAAAAAGCCTCTCACTGTTGCAGGATACGACATGGATGAAGATGTCAAGTATGCTGGTCCATCTGGGCATATATTTGACGGATTGAACTTTTGTAAGCTTTGCACCGGGCATCGGGCCTGCTTATTGATAGTGTACTAACCATACGAGGCAGATATTCTCTCAGATTCGAGTGCACCCGTCAAGAAAACAAAGCCTGAGCTAGAGCAGCTTGTCAAAGCCAACGGTGGCATGTTCTTCCAAACCAACAATGCAGCTCCTCATACAATCTGTGTGGCGGACAGAAGTAATCTCTCCTAGCCTAATGATGAGGTCTCTTTTAGCTAACCTGCATACTAGGAACGGTAAAAGCTGCCTCGTTACAGAAGACAGGCGATGTGGATATCATCCGGCCGTCCTGGATTTTTGATTGTGTGAAGCAAAATGAGATTGACGCAGGGCTACCTGACTTGCTGCTCCCTTTTGAGCCTAGGTATGTTCGAACACCTATCCCGGACTAGATGGACCCATGCTCAACTTGCTCTAGGCACATGTTCTTCGCCACGCCGGGCAGGCACGACGAAGTGGCATCCAATGTAGACCAGTTTGGCGATAGTTACGCTCGTAATACGACGAGCGAGGAGCTCAGCGATGTACGTTTTCCATAATGTTTCATTAAACGATTGCTGATCTCGTCAAGGTACTGAAACAAATGACGAAGAAGCATCGTTTCGACATTTCCCAGTGTCCCGAGTCCGTCAAGAAGCTCATTGACCGCATCCAAGAAAGGGTCCATTCTGGACATGAAATGCCATGCGGATGGGTCTTCAAGAGTCTTACGATACTCTTCCCATATAGAAATGAGGATGTGTCGGAGTCCGAAAGTATGAATCCATCGGATGCTCACAGCCGCCTGCGTTATGCTCTCAATGTAGCGAGGTTCGCAGGCGCGAATATAGCCAAGTCCTCAAGTCATTCCTCGATCACCCATGTGGTTGTCGATCCGGAAAGCTCGTCAACAGAAATATCTTCGCTACGAGGGGAGTGGTCCAGGAAGCCTGGGAAGAAGGTACCACATATAGTCACTGTTGACTGGGTAGAAGAGAGCTGGAAGAGTCGAACGCTATTGGATGAGGAGAGTAAGTCATACAATGTAACTTTCCTGATGACTAGCATCTAATTGAGTTGCGCAGGATTCCAGCCCAAACGATGAATATCTGGCATCGCTTAAACATTCGGGCCAGGATGAACCGAGACATGAATCCGGGTCACCGAATCCTAGGTTTTGCCCTGCAATGAAAATTGACTTTGTCCATGACTCATATAACGGCATACAATGATGAAGGAGATACAGGCGCAATGGTAGTCTAGCTGCACTGGTGCCCAAAGAAGATACCCCATGTTACTTGAACTTGTTGATTTTGGCGGGATAGTCGTTGCTTCCCCACGCGGGGATCAAGAAACAATATCTTAGCACTGTACAAACTACGGAGTATCTAATTTTTGCTTTACTATGGAGTAGATAGTCGATCCCTGCACTGTCGTATGAACATCCAAGTACACTGCTTGATACGATTGGATAGAGATAAGGCTTGCATATAGGGATCCGTGCAACTGGGCAACCAGAATAGATGGCTCCATGGACGTTGCTGAGGCTACCCCTATACCGATTAAGGCATTAATAATTACTTGGACCAGGAATGTGCAGTATATTTTACGCTTTGAAAAGCAATGTTTACCAAGATTATTAGTGCAGCAAGAACGAGAGGAGAGAGGCGCTGATTGTATGTGATACCAGATCCCGCTTTCACATGTCGCTATTTTTTCAGACTTTCTTACTCGGCTGACTTGCTGGGTTTGCTTCCATTCATGATTCCAAGTTTCTTGAGGGTTTCAACACGGGCTAAGGTGTGTCTCATACCCTGTAAAACAATGAAAGAAAATTCCATTTCGCTTCGCTATATGTACCGGGCTAGAAAGGGAAACGATCTTTCTGCCCGAATGAGACATGTAATGGTGACAAGTGATTGTTCAAACCACTGTATATGATGACTCCAGTCCAACCAGGCGCCGATGCTCTCTATGCTTCCAACCAAGAAGGCCTCTGAATATGTACAGAATGTGAGAAATTGAAAACTGGGATGAACCCAAAATAAATTCTGAGATCGTTGGAGGGGGAAAAAAAAATAAAAAGGAAAAAGGTAGTGGGTCAACAGTTGGGTAAGCAGAGGCAGAAGGAGATGACGCATGTATCAGGCAGAAATTCCGATCCATCGTGGAGGGATTACATGCTCAGTGTCTTCTTCGTGGTCGTGCTCATCAAAGTCGTAGACGGCGAACCGATGCTGGATGCTTTTCCGTGGTGGTAACCAGATCCGCGCCCGGGTAGGGATGTCATCCCGAAGCTTTCCGCTACGTCTCATGTTCATTTCGAGAACCACCATGCGCAGAAAATCACTGTTCTCCCGCGGTTCTCGGGGCCGTGAGAAGGCCGGATGCTCTGGATCGAATGGCAGTAATTGTCGATCTCGGCTTGCGGAGCCGGCGAGACGAAACCTGCCCTTACGACCTCCACGGGCCCCTGAACGGTGATATGTCTGCATTTGGATCGACACTGGGCAGTTCCGAGAATCCAGGGTTTCATGTGGATAGTCTTGGTAAGCATACATCTCGGAGGGTGAAACCTGAATCGGGTTCAGATACCGCCTTAGGGCGGGCGATGGCGGCTCGTTCATGGGCGGAGGCCGTCGGTCATCCGTCATCTCCGGAGTAATACTAAACAGAGACCGCGTCAAAAAATCCTCTGGTTGTACCGATGGAGAAGCAAAGGTCGAAACAGTTTGAGCAGCGGACTTGATTGCTCGTAAAGATGCTGTCAGATTGGATTTGAAGGAGGAGCCTAATCGAGGGAACGAGCGGGATGGGCCAGAGGATTTGGAAGGAGTGGCATCAGTAAACAAGGGCTGCGAATCAGTCAGGCTCCAATCTGATTCCGACAGATCCCTTTCCAGCAGAGGATGGTCAAGAGCACAATCTTCCGGATGTGGTGGGCGGCGGTATCTTCTTTCTGAAGGGCTTCGCTGGCTTGCTGGGGTAGGCGGCACAGGAAGGCTAGATGGAGAATCCAGATCGTGATCTAATAACGGCATCGATTCGAGCGACATAGACCGTCCAGAAAATGACGGTGTCTCAGGCTCGTAATCGCTGCCAACCACCGACTTTTCACTCTCATCTGGAGGGCTAAGCAAAATGTCAAGCGCAGTGTTACCAGTCCCTTCTAGTAAATGATCATCTCTTGATTTGATCCCTTCCATCAGCAACCTGCTAAACTCCTGCACATGATCTCCGCGCGGTAGTTTCCGTGACTCTCGCACGCTCCAGGTGCGTCTGGGAACTGGAATCGCGGTGGCTTCTAGGATGGACGCAATGGATGTGGGTACATGGCGATCGCGCAAAGCGGGCGACGATGACCGGGGAGATACTGTCTTATTGCAGAGGATCTTTGAACCATGCGCTGTGCTGTTCTCAAGCCTTGATGTAACACGAGGTCCCCGTTTCGGAGGGATCACGACTGGGCTCGTAGCATGAGAGGTCGCCTCGCTGGGGAACTCGAGGCCAGAGACGACGTCCCGCGCCGTGAAAAAGGCCATGGGGGAGGTAGAGGTGGAGGTTGGCGGTATATCCTTCTCATCTTGCCTGAATGGTTTTGGGGAAGACACAGAACTAAAAAGAAAAGCCCTGGGGACCATCATCTTTATGGTTTGTTATCAAGGCACAGTCCGTTGATAAGGTGATTTAGCCCTGACGAGGCACTTTGATCGAGAGTCTGAGCGAGATACATGGATGGTGAAGGAAGACAAGGAGGAAAACGAGATGGGATTGCTGGGACTCCCCCCAGGGAGTATACTTATTCGATGATATACGTGTCGGTAGGGGTCGGTGTGTTGGCAGATGATTTGCGATAAAGATTTAAGGCAATCGGACCTGGAGACCGGTTGCGGGATAGCGGCCGTATGCGTATGCAGGCACGCGACAGGTAAACCTGACAGGTAGGACAGATGCAAGTGTCTAAAAGCGTTACAGGGTCCAAAACAGACAGGAATCAAGTAGAGGGATGAAAGGAGAAAGAGGGAAATGAAGCGGATGGAAAAGGACTCCAGCACCGTAAGAGTGTAATAATGATAATACCCTAATAGACGTCAGATGGGGGCGAGGAAAAGGTGATCTTCTCTGGGTATGGACTACGGAGTCCAGTGGGACGTTTGGTGAAGATAAGAAGAGTGGGTGGCTGCGTTTCCTTGGGCCGTAATTTCAACGTAATACGCCACACCTTGCCTTATTAGCCCTGGGCTGGCATTTGTTTTAGGAATAGACTGTACAGTCAGCAGCCCACTAAACTGATGGAAATAGGAAAAGTGTCGTGTACGGTCACAACTGAGGGCCCTTACTAATAAAATTTTGGGGCGGTAAGGGCGGACATTGCCGGTGATCCGGGATGTTGAACAATGGCAATGGTACGGTATCGTAATATGTCCCCCAGCAGCCAGTTATAATCCAGAGATATGGCTATTTGTTTGTTTATCATCCGCCTGACTTTCATGTCTCACTACCTTAGTGCATTGGTAACCGATCGATAATACCGGCTTGCCTTACCTTAAGACTGTTTTTGGAAACCCCACAGAAGTTAGAGAAGATTCTATCTAAAACGATGATACTAGTTCAATACTACCTCACCTTGCCAGCAGTTGCCTACTTGAGTGTCATGCGTATTGTTGGAGTACAACTGTCGTGTGCTGCACCTGTTACAGTATTGAGGTCCTTTCTTCTAAGTCAGAATACCGAGTAGGCTGATAAGATTACGGGGGAGGGTGTCAGTGACTCAGTGTGTTGATAATCATCAAACTTGGTGCCTGCCCAACCTTGAAAGGCTGAAAGGTCGGCCTATAACCCAATCAATATGAAAGATAAGAGGGCTTGCCATGTGAAAGACAATAATCATGCATACCTGTAAGCAAGTAAGTACTCATTGACAAAATCGAGGTTAATGCATCTACACAGTAAGTATCAATGACACCTTCGGCATAGTTAAGATCACATGATTCATTATTCCCCCTCTCCTTTTGACCTCTTGGCCTCTTGGAACAAGATGCATGCATAAAGCTGCTGATCCTTCGTCGATTCATAAGCAAAAACCATATAAACGACTCCTTTGTGCTACCTCAAGTTTTCACCATCCTAAAGGATCATGAAGTGAGAATAGATATTTTTCTACACGAGTCCTAAGCTGACTCGTCTCAAAGCTGAGGCTCGATCGCGGGGCTGTGCAAGGGACATGGAAGAATCCATGCTAACGACGATTATCCGTAAACTCCGACCAATCCAGCTCTGATGCTATGACGGAATATAAGTGAGCGCTTCCCCGCAGCTCACCAAATCAGCTCCAATACACGTCGCAATGTTTAGATCATCTTCCTATTCCTCCTCTTCGTCCTCGCAAACCTCTTTTCGCAGAGTATTAAAAGCACCGGGCCGTCCGATCGCTGTACGGACCGAATATGTCACAGATTCAAGGACACTTTTGGTTGTGAGACCGCAAGGTGACAGGCAGTCTTCAAGAGCGTATAAGATTGAGGATAGCGATGGGGTGACCTTGTTCACTGCGACGGGTCGTAAATTCAGTGTTCGCGCCTGTCGCGAATTCTGGGATGCTTCTGGACTGCCTCTGTTCGAGCTGCATAGGAAGATGTCGCTCAAGAATACATGGTCTGTCACGCTACCAGGAAGCAAGCATGCAAATATAGCCACAGCCAGCGCAGGATGGTCTGTCGGTGACTTCAAGATTACTTTCCAGAATAGAGCAGCCGTTGAGTCGAAAAAGGAGGAGGAAAAAATACTCACGTTAGAGGTTGAAAAGTATGGGAACGCTCTAGCTTCATTCGATGTCGTGGATGGGGACAGGAAGGTCGCGGAGATTCGCGAAAGTATACCTCACAATGAGAAATTGGCCTTGCTGCCGAGTTCGAAGAAGGGCTATCGACCAGTTCTGGATGTGACCGTTCTACCAGGAGTAGACTTGTCTCTTGTAAGACATGTTATCCGTATACCTATCATACGATGATTGACCCTACCTACAGATCGCACTTATTACAGTTATGGCGTCGGACTGGGTGTTTAGCTCGAACTACTAGATCGTTCCTCAACAAGCCGTCCAAACCATTCGCGGTCTTTTTTTGAACCGTCATGATGCTCACGAACCCAGACTCGGATTGGTCTGGGATCGCTGATCCCAGTTTATGGGGGACGGCTCAAGCCTCACCCTTTCAGTCGTTACGGCGTATGAAGCGATTCTAGACTCGGCATGTACCCATCGGTACACTATGCTGGATGATTTCACGGCCACAGATACCCTGTCCGCTTTGCAGGCAGAATTGTACATAAGAGCCTCCCTTTGCCGCCAAAGGGATGTGATTACCTTACTATTCCGAATGAAGATCATGATTATGGAAAGTTCGATGCAATTAACGACGTAAGTACAGAAGTATACTGTCTATATTCGATCTCAGTTGATCGCAAATCTGCCATGCCATCGTTCCATAATTCCGGACCTACCTTAATTAACAAAGTACCTGCATAAATACCCAAATATGGACGTATTTGCATTTCTTCGTTGTAAAGCAGGCTCGGAATACCGGAGGTAATTATTGGTCTCAGCTCCAAAGTCCAAATGAGGTAGGTTGTTCCTAAAAACGAGGTACCTAACTGGTGCCTTATCAAACTGCGGTGAGTAAGGTAGGTGTCAATGTGTAAATATTATCAAATTCCCTTAGAGAAGTATGGTAATCTCTACATATCAGAATCACAGCAGCTTCTTGTTAGTAAAGTTATACGTAGATACTCTGTGGCTGGGAAACAACGCATTATTAATGGTAACATATCATGGTCCACCCAGCAAGGTACTGACGTAGTGAAAGGGATCCTCAGGTATGAAACGCACTTTCCAACAGGATACTCCAAACTCCTAAGAGAATTCTCAATTGTTGAGATAATGTGATAGATGAAGAGGGAGACTTTTTTGTTCGAGAGTACTGCGTGCCCTTGAAAAACGCTATGCCAATATCCGAATTCTCAATATTCCCTCTCCCTGGTTGTCATACAAAGCACTTTTGGTATCACAGATGATCTGCAACTGGAAGTTAGATTGGATCGTTTATTCTGGGGTCAGATGCGGATAGTACAGACTTTCCTCATGCCGAGAGCTATTGCGCCCCTGGTGCGATGCTTGGGATGTGCACATTCATCCATATTAATTATCGTTAGTTTAACAATAACCTCAGATCTCGGCAGATCGTAGCTTCAGAAACACATTCGCTGTGATTGGCCAATCCTACTATCGAAGCGCCAAATCCTCATGTTCAGGGATCTTACTGCTATAAACAACACGAGGTTCTATTCGAGCCGGCTATCAGTGTTGTTATTCAACAAGGTGATTGCAATGTATTTAACTACGAGCGAATTCTCCTCGCATTCGTCAACATCTTGCTCAACGGCCTCATATTGGCAGATCTTCCAGCTGCCATTGACCTACCTTAGTTACTTGCGCCAGGCGAGCCTTAGTCAGCGATTCTTATCGCCCACTTCGAGGCGGCGGCGGCGGCGGCAATGGGCTTCACTGCGATCCAGAACTAGAGCTTCTCTGGGACGTTATCGCTTTATCTCGTCTCTGGTTTCTGTCCAATCAACCTCACAGTCTCCAAAGGCTCTTATCATTTTTCCCTTTCAGCGCAGTGATCCCAGTTTTGATGTCTGAATCCATCCTCCACGATCCCGCCTCCACTGCGGGTCGAAACCCCATGGTGTGATCATCGCGCTGCTTACGGAGTACATTCAATTCTAATTGCAGTCCGTGATCTGTGAGTATATCCAGATAAATATGGGCACGAAGTTTGTGTGTGTAAATCTGCAATCACAATGAAACAGAGGGAGCTCAGGCTCCGAGTACGCTTCAAGCTGCTGCCCGACTTAACACACATGTACTGATGCTTCTCCAACCATTTCAGGTTCGCTCAATATCTTAAGCGCATATCGATTGATACGCCCATCATCTCGAGGATTTCTGCTCACGCAACTCCTGGGCTCCCTTCAGCGGTGGACACATAATATCACCACCCGACATAAGCATGGTCTGCTTTGACTCGACAGTTCCTTTGAACGTTCCTGGATGGACTTGCCAAACATGGAAGGGAATACTGCGGCGAATGCTGAATCACTAAGCCCGGAACCTTCTGCTAGAGGACCTCGAGGAAAATCGGCCGGAAAAGCGAAGAGCGTGGATCCTGACAATGGTCCGACGTCCAAGAGACGCTGCGTAAGCACGGCCTGCATTGCTTGTCGGAGGAGGAAGTCGAAGGTAATAAGCCGGCAGTTTCGCTTAGTGTTGTTTCTTCGTCATATTCTTACTATATCTGCTCTACCAGTGCGATGGGAACCTGCCGAGCTGTGCCGCATGCTCATCCGTTTATCATACACCCTGTATGGAGAGCCCTAAAAAGGAGGCAAAGACGGGAAGAAAGTGATGCTAACTTGTCCTCCAGGTGTCTACGATCCAAACTCTGATCACAGGCGCAAGGGTGTGTACAAAAAGGACACGGACGCCCTTAGGACGAAAAATTCGACTTTACACACTTTGATTCAGGCACTGCTGAACTATGATGAAGAAGACGCTTTCGATTTGGTCCGGCAAATACGTTCCTGT